ACTTTTAAAAATAATCCTTTCACATTAGTAGAAAGTGAGTCTCAGTGTAGGAGTGACATCCTCAGTTGGAAACTAACATTGGTGGCTACTGGAGAGAGATGATCATCTATAAGTCTTACAACAGCCCAGTATGGTAAGATGAGTAGCCCACCAATACAATTGAGGAAACTAAGAAAAGTTGAGTAACTTGCCCAATATCACACAGCTACTGAGTGGGATTTAAAACCTAGGACCCTCTAGCACCAAATGCTGGTCTCTTCCCACGACACTCTTCTGGACCCCTGCAACACTGAGTTCTAGATGTGTTGCAGGTAACTTGGACCCACTTCTCTTCTGCCTTCCCCAGCTTCCTGGCTACGGGGGGGCCGCTGAGCTCTCTACCCACTGTAGTACATAGAGCAGTGGGGCCAGAAGCAGGGCTCCCTGCAAAGTAATGCAGAAAATTTGATACTGGAAAAAGGTTACTAAAGGTAAATCCACTTAAAATGGGTTTCCCAAATTTCACTGTAGTTAAAAAAAAAAAAAAAAAAAGGACTAGGACCTTATCTTGAAAGTGAAACTGAAACTAAAGCAAAATGAAATTAAAATGACCTGCTTCCCTTGGTTTCCTTTTTCTGGGCTCTGCCCACTATGGGGACACTTTACTTCAGTGGGCTCCAGGAGGAAAGCACCATGCTTTTGCCTCCATGCCTGCCACAGTGGACACTGAATAAATGCTGGAATCCCCTTATTCAGAGAGGCCTACAGGTCCCTGACTGGGGATGGCCACACTCCTTGGACACCAGGTCTTAACCACTGACCAGTGGTCAGTGTACTTCTCTACTTCCCTGTATCCACTTCCTCCAGTTCGATTTTTGGTTCAGCCTTTCCCCTCGTATTATCCGGGTCACATCTGAGAGTTCTGGTGAATCTAATGAGAAATCTTCCTTGAACACCTTGAAACAAAAGCCTGAAGATCCTAGAACAATTTCACACTAAAAATCTCTTTGATTCAGGGGCACCAGGGTGGCTCAGTCAGTTAAGTGTCTGCCTTCAGCTCAGGTCATGATCCCAGGGTCCTGGGATGGAGGCCCACATCAGGCTCCCTGCTCAGCGGGGAGTCTGCTTCTTCCTCTGCCCCCCACCACTTGTGCACACACACAGTCTCTCTCTGTCTCTAATAAATAAAAATATTTTTTAAAAATCCTTTTCATTCAACAAATAGATATTGCTGATTTGAGCTCTGGGGCTCTGAGGGTCCAACCTAGGCTAGATGCTGGTGATAATGTGGTGAAAAGCCAGGTCCCGCCCTGCGCCTTCTGTTAGCTTTCAACTCCCACCTGCCTCATTCCTGAGAGCCACCATCCTTACCCAACGTGTACCCTCTCCAGTCTTATCCTCTGCCATCTTTAGCCAGTCCAGCCTTCCCTGCCACCCCAGTTGCCATTCCAGGTGCTCTGTCCTACATACACACAGTGGGGCACGTGTCTTCTCCCCTCCACCGAATCAGCAGTGGGATGACATTGTCTTAGAATTCTGCTACAGCTTCTCAAACATCCTTCTAAAGTCCTCAGGTGAGACTTACTGTTTCATATTCATTTATTTATTAATTCACTCACCCATCAGTTATATACTGTACCCTGCCTATAAACCACACAGCGTAGGGTTCGAGCATGGACTCTGGAGTGAGAGTGAATTTAAATCCTGGCTCTGCCACTTATTAGCTGGGGGACCTTGGGCAAGTCGCTTTTGTTCTCCTTGCCTCAGTTTACTCATGTATAAAATATGGGATGTTAGTATTACCTATTCCATGGGGTATTAGAAGGGCTAAGTGAGTTAAGTCATGTAAAGTGCTTAGAACAGCACTTTACACAAAGACACCCTCAGTGAGTAAAAGCCACTGTGGCTGTTGAGTGCCAGTGCTGGGCTGGGAGCTAGGATGCAGTGGTAAACGGTACAGAGATAGTCACAGAAGCAAATACAAGAAAGAAGGAGTTTGTATCAGGCTTAGTGCCAGGCGCTGGAGTGCATAGTGGGAGGAAACCGCAGACTCACCTGGAGGGCTTGCTAAACACTAAGGCCTGAGTTCCTTTCTGGAGGTTCTTGAGGTGAATCTGTTTTCTTGCCTTTTCCAGCTTCTAGAGGTTGCCCATATTCCTTGGTTAGTATCCCCCTTTCATCTTAAAGCTAACAATGGCTGGTCAAGTCATTTTTATGATGCCATCTCTCTGGTTCTGACTTTTCTGTCTCCCCATTTAAGGATCCTTGTGATTGCATTGGGCCTACCTAGATAAACCAGAATAATTTTTGTTAAAGTCAGCTAACTAGCAATCTTAATTCCATCTGTAACCTTAATTCCCCCTTGCCTTGTAAGGTAAGATATTAACAGTTTTCAGGATTAAGGCATGTATAGCTTTGGGTAGGACCAATATTCTGCCTATCAATACACTTACTTCCCGAGTTTTTAATTTAGTAGGTCTGTGGTGGGGCCCAAAATTTGTATTTGTAACAAGTTCTCAGATGATGCTGATGCTCCTGATTCAGGAGCACACTTTGAGAACCACTGGTGGAGAGACCTTGGTCATTTCACATCTTCATCCATTCAGCAAGCTTTTTGGATCTCTAGGTGTGAGCCCAATGCTGTACCAGCTGCTGGGAATAGTGCCTGCCAATTTAAAAAAAAAAAAGCCCATAATGTAGCAAAGGGGGCAAACAATTTCAGTTTGGTGTGATCTATAGTCTAATAAAGCTATGTGCAAAGTGCTAAGCATTCCCAGAGAAGATAGCAACTAAAAGGAGCAAGGGTGGGCTTTATTGATGAGGTGACATTTGAACTGGCCATCAAAGAATAAAGAGATTACAGGGCACCTGGGCGGCTCAGTTGGTTAAGTGACTGCCTTCAGCTTAGCTCATGATCCTAGGGTCCTGGGATCGAGCCCCGCATCACATTGGGCTCCCTGCTCGGCGGGGGGCCTGCTTCTCCCTCTCCCTCTGCCGCTTCCACTGCTTGTGCTCTCCTGCTCTCTCGTTCTGTCAAATAAATAAATAAAATCTTTTTTTAAAAAAAAGAAAGAGGGGCACCTGGGTGGCTCAGATGGTTAAGCGGCTGCCCTCGGCTCAGGTCATGATCCTGCTATCCTGGGATCAAGCTCCACGTCCGGCTCCCTGCTCAGCAGAGAGCCTGCTTCTCCCTCTCCCTCTGCCTGCCACTCTGCCTACTTGTACTTTCTATCTCTCTGTCAAATAAATAAATAAAATCTTAATAAATAAATAAATAAATAAATAAATAAATAAAGAGATTTCCAGGAAGTTAAGGAGGAGAAGAATATGGCAGCTATTGGGAATAGCATATGAAAAAGAGCGTGTGTTCAAGGAATGAGAAATAATTCTATGTAGTTGGAGTGGATAATGCATGCTGTGGGAGAAGGATTAAAGTTGATAGAAAAATACCATGCCGTATTAAGGAATATAGTGGACCTGTCCAAGTTACCTGCTCAGCCCACTCTGTCTTCTTTGAGAACATTCCTCTCTATAGATCCTACTGAAGACGTGAACCTCAGGCTGGCCTGTTTTGTCCACATGACCTTACTTGACCCATGAGCTAAGCCAATCAGATTTCCTTTCTCAGTAACTTATTCTAAGAGATATGAAAGTTAGGTAGACTTGGATTAGAATGCCTGTGGGGGGCCATGTGCTTGATGAACATGTAGGGGGTGGTGAGGAGAGGGTAGGGAGGAGTCTGCAGGAGAACGAACAGGGCGAAGTCACAGCATGAAGCAGAGATGAGATACACAAGGCAGCAAGAGAGGAGCCAGCAGACATGGGACATTATCCCAAGCCCCTACCCTGCTGCCTGGCTATCCTTCCTTCGTGGAAGTCCGCCCCTCCCTCCCTTCCTTCTTCTCTCCTTCCTTTCTTTAGGATTCCTTCTTCTTTAAAAAAAAAAAAAAACTTTATTAGAGCAGTTTTAGGTCTACAACAAAACTAAATGGAAGGTGCAGAGATTTCCTGTATAGTCCCTGTCCCCGCACAAGCGAAGACCCTCCCATTATCATTATCTCCCAACACCGCTCACCACATGGTACATTTTTTACGAAGGGTGAACTTAAATGGACACATCATAATCACCCAACGTCCATCCCTGTTTCTCTATAATACATTTCTTTTTACTTTTTATTTATTTTTTAAAGGTTTTACTTATTTGACAAAAAGAGAGAGAGCACAAGCAGGGGAAGTGGGAGAGGGACAAGCAGGGTCTCCGCCGAGCAGGGAGCCCACTGGACGCAGGGCTCCATCCCAGGACCCTGGGATCATGACCTGAGCCGAAGGCAGACACTCACCCGACTGAGCCACCCAGGCGCCCCTACATTTCTTTTTCTTAAATGACATGGAGTACATTTTTTTTTTTTTTTTGCAGATGATGATTGCCATCTGATGCAAAGTTCAGATTTTGGCAGAAATGAGCCAGTGGCAGTGTATGAGGCAAAGGAGTAACAGTTTGATTTGTGTTTCACAAAAATCTCTAACTGCAAAAAGGGGTCGGGGGAGCTGGTAACAGGCTCGAGCATTAGGTGGGCAATTGAGGATGAGAGCCTGAACTCAGGGAGCAGCAGGGAGGAGGGGGTGAGTCTGAAGAGATACTTGGGAAGTAGAATTGATAGATTTTAGTATCCTGAGTTGTTGGGAATCCAGGGCAGAAAGAGTTAAGGACAGTTCTTAGTTTCTAGGTCAGTGAATCTAAAGAGTTGCAAAACTGTTAATAGAGAAAATGAAGACAGGATCATGTTTTTGAAAGAAAGATATTAAGCTCAGTTTTAGACACACTTTACATCTGAGGAGCCCATAGCAACCTCCAGTGGGCATTGACAGTTTATTTCTGGAGGTCAACAGATGAGTTAGAAGAAAGATGCGTGTAGGTAGCATCCACTCTTGACTAGATTAGATTCCAGAAAGAATTTAACATGAGAAGGGAGAGAAAGGCGGGAAGGCAGGCAGGAAAGGAAAAGTAAGACAACAGAAACATGGGAAACACTAAGACTGACTGGCCAGAGGAGGAACATAAGCCCGCCAAGGCATCTGAGAAGAAATGGTTGGAAGGGGAGAAAGAGAGCCAGGAGAGAATGAGTCGTAGAAGGTAAGGGAGGAGAGTTTTAAGCAAGAGGGAATGACCATATGGATCAAATTGTACATTGGGGTTAAATAAGATGAAAGCTGAAAGTAGTTCATAATATTTGATATTTGAGGCATTGTTGTCTTTAAAGAGAGCAGTTGCATCAAAATGGAGTAGTGGTAATAAGATGAGGTCATTGGGCACCTGGGTGGCTCAGGTGCATCTGCTTTCAGCTCAGGTCATGATCCCGGGGTCCTGGGATGGAGCCTTGGCTTCTCTCCCTGCCCCTCACCCTGTTCATGCTCTCTCTCTCTCTCTCTCACTCTTTCTCTCTCTCAAATAAAAAAGATAATATGAGGTCATTTGGGTGAGGAGTGACTGGTTAGTAAGAAAGTAGGCAGAGCAAGAGACAGCTACCCTCTCTAGAAGTTTGGATGTGAAGGAAAAGAGACATCTGAGCAGAAGCTTAAGGATGAAGTGAGAGAAAGCCCACTGATTGCAAAACTGACCTACTGCCTCATCCCTCCCTGACTCCACACCCTTTGCTATGCGACTCTGCAGCTCCTGCCATCAAGAAGTAGGGTCCATTTCCTTGTTCTCGGGCTGGCCATGCGACTTGCTTTTTTACCAGTACAGTGAAGAGGAAGTGATAGTGTACCAGTTCCGAAGGCCTTGTGTACTTCTACCCTGTCTCACTCGAAATCCCGCCTGGCTACCAGGAGGACAAGCCCATGTTCACTCGCTGGGTAAGTGATCGGTGGCCCCTCCACCCACTCCACCATAACTAATGACCCGCTGATTGCCAGGCAGGTGAGTGAGATCGTCCTTGACGGCCCCGCCCCAGCCGACCCGCCAGCTGACCGCATAATTCATGAGGATGTGCAGTCAGTATTTCAGGCCCAGCCCAAGGCGGGGGATCCTGGCCCAGCTCAACAGAACTGCCCAGGTGACTCACTAACCTGTGAGGAATAAAAATGCTTGTTGCTTCAAGCCATTGTTTCGCGGCACTTTGTTACACATCGACAGCTAATTGATTCGAGAGATTATTGGGAGGTTTTCATTATCTTGCTTTGGCATGGGGGAGATTTGAATATATCCATCCGTTGTAGGGGAAAAGACAGGGTTGAGATTCAAGAAAGGGAGTAAGTAACAGGAGGAGGGGACATGACCAAAAGCTCAGGTGGAAGATTAGCCTGGGAAAAGGCAGAAACTGCCTTTGTTTCTGAGATAAGAGAAGGAAGTGGGGATGGAAGACGGTGTCCTGAGCTGAAATTCTTTGCGTCACTTGGGCTTCAGCTAGGTGGCAGCTTAGGGGGTGGCATCTCCGGACATGCTCGCAGTTTATATCCAACCAAAAATTAACGTCCCAAACTCACGCGTTTCCACATCTGTCAAAGCTAAAAGGGGCGTCTGAGACAGATTTCCTTTTGTTTTCACTGGCGTGTCAAATGCTGCAGTGACAGCAAAGGAATAATCTTCAGTTTGTGTATAATGAGGTCTGAAATTTCCGTCTCCACACATTGATCATGAATCTTATTTCACTAGATAAACTGACAGCAGAGTCTCAGGTACTTAAACAAAATTTTGAAAAAAATCAACACAACCACCCACATCTATGATTTTTTTTCCTGCTGTCACTTTTATGGTTCAGTTATTTTGTCTATATGCACTCATTTCCAGTTTTGTCTGGATTTCTCAACAGCCAAATCATTCCTTAATCCTAGACATATACTCCTCTATCCTGGAAAATGATTTAGTAGAAAGACAGCTGGCTTGGGAGGCAGAAAAACGGAGTTCTAGTTTTGACTCTGCTGTTAACTAGCAAACTTATCCAAGCTAAGTCACTGAACCTGTTTCCTTATCTGAAAAATATATTCCTCCAACAGAAATCTATTGGTACCAGGCACTGTTGTGAGTGCTTAGGACACATCAGTGAAGAAAACACTGATGCCCTCAGGAGCTTACATTCTGGAGGAGTCAGGCAATGAGAAATGCAATAAACAGGATAATTATATCATATGCTAGATGGTGAAAAGTGTTATGGAAAAAATTAAAAATAAAGTGGAGGTTGGGGCTGGAAGGAACTAAAACAGTTACCATGAAGTTATCTCGGGGAAGAATGTTCCAGGCAAAGTCCCTGAGTATTTCCTGTCTTTCTTGTCCTCCACACTCCATTTCTCCTTACTAACCTCAGAGGAGGTTTATAATGCATGTAACCTTTAGGCCAGTCTTCCATTACTACTCCATACATTTCTTTGAATAGCCAACAAATGACCATCCATTCACTTTGAACTAGTCCCATTGGCATTAGGTACAAGAGCCTCTCATCTTGCATTTACTTTCTGGGACCTCTTGTGGTATTTTCCTGCCATCCAAAAGGCTAGATCTGTATGTATTATACCAAACATCACGTAGGCATTTCCTCCCAGCTCTGCACAGGACAGTGAAGCCAGCAAAGGGATCTTTAAAAAAGACATGGCTCTTCTATTATGCAGCCATCAAAAGGAATGAGATCTTGCCATTTGCAACGACGTGGATGGAACTGGAGGGTGTTATGCTGAGTGAAATAAGTCAGTCAGAGAAAGACATGTATCATATGACCTCACTGATATGAGGAATTCTTAATCTCAGGAAACAAACTGAGGGTTGCTGGAGTGGTGGGGGGTGGGAGGGATTGGGTGGCTGGGTGGTAGACATCGGGGAGGGTATGTGCTATGGTGAGCACTGTGAATTGTACAAGACTGATGAATCACGGATCTGTACTTCTGAAACAAATAATGCAATATATGTTAAGAAAAAAAAGAAGAAGAAGATAGCAGGAGGGGAAGAATGAAGGGGAGTAAGTCGGAGGGGGAGACGAACCATTAGAGACGATGGACTCTGAAAAACAAACTGAGGGTTCTAGAGGGGAGGGCGGTGGGGGCATGGGTTGGCCTGGTGATGGGTATTAAAGAGGGCACATTCTGCGTGGAGCACTGGGTGTTATGCACAAACAATGAATCATGGAACACTGCATCAAAAACTAATGATGTAATGTATGGTGGTTAACATAACAATAAAAAAAATTATTAAAAAAAAAAAGACATGGCTCTTGATAAAGTACCTACCATTTCCGAATGCCATTTATGTGCCAAGTAGCTTTACATTCTTTATTTCCCCTAATCCTCAGCACATTTCCATCTTTCTCTGAGGTTAGCATTATTCCCACTTTACCGGTAATGAAACGGTGGTTCAGAGAATTTTGAAAACTTACTGTGGCCACACAGCTGCTAAGTCCCATGGTTAGAATTTGCTTCTCAAGCACACTTTCCATCAGCTGTACTGCACAGCTTCCTTTCTTCCTAAGTGTCCTTTAATCCAGCTGGAAAACCAGATATAGGTGTATGAGACGACAAGAGGGCGGTTTTAAGGCCTGTAGCATGGTGGTGAAGAGCTTGGCTCTGCAGTCAGACAACCTGAGGTCAAACTCCAGTTCTGCCGTGTTATAACTGTGTGATCAGGGGCTAGTTACTTAACTTTTCTGAGCCTCCTTTTCCTCATTTGTAAATATGCATAACATGAGTCCCTGTCTCATAAAGTTGTGTGTGGGGGGGACTCAATGAAATAATTCACATAAAGTCCTTAGCATAGTATCTCTTACATAACTCTAACATAGGTTAACAATTATTCTCATATATTATTGATAGATTTTTTTAAAAAAGCACATGTATATATTAAAATATCTCTAGAAGGCTCAGGAACTTGGGACTAACTTTTCACTTTGAGTATTTGTACAATGTATACATTTAAATGTTGGGCCAATGATATTACTTATTCAAGAAAACAACCTGACAACTAGACAGCTTTAAAGAAATACCATTATTATTATCATCATTGTAAGGAATTTGGAGTAATAATAATTATTCCATAATTTATTTGGATAGACAGATTTGGAGGAGGTTTTTTGGAGGAGATGTTTGAGCAGGGCCTCGAAGCAGGTATAGCATTTTGATGACAGAATAACGAACTGAGAGGCATTTTACATGAAAGATTCTTGCAGGGCAGAGCTTACAGGCAGGAAAGAGTAGCCAGCGAATGCAGTTCCATTCAGTGATAATTGTTTGGTGCTGTGGTAACAACTAATACAGGTGATAGTGTTTTTCAGATACCTGTAATAGAAAAGAGAGGGTGTAAGTGAAAAATTGCCTAAACACTCCACTCAAACACAAAAATTGAGAAAGATTGCTGGTTGAGGCCGATTCCATGAGCCCTGCTGCCAGAATTATTCCGGTTCATCAATCCAAATTGAGCTGGAGGCACCTTTGACATCCCCCTCTCTCTGCCTGCAGGTCAGCTGTCTCCAATCCTGAGGTCATCACTCATCAAGAGGGGATAATCCCAAGGACAGCAGGACCTGCTTCATCACTTGGATTTAGGAGTGAGAAACCCATCAGGCAACTAAACAGTAACAATGACCCACCATTAAACACACTGAGAGAAGTGCATGATGAGGAGATTGTACGAGAAGAATCCCGGAGCTCTTGCTGACAACGCCTATGGAGACGCTGACCACTGTGAGCTCTGCCCATTGAACTGCAGTAAAAAATCTCCCCCTCCCCAGAGATGCTTGGATGCAGGCACAATATCAGTTCAGACAATGGTCTGTGTGTGGACTTAGAGTGGAAAGAATTTGGACTGTGGGGTAAACAGACCTGGGTCTGAACTGTTATTCTGCCACTTCCGTGTAGTATGTTTTAGCAGCATTAAAAAAAAAAAAATCTCTCTCGGCCTCAGTTTTCTTGTCTGCAAAATGGATCAAATACCTCCACAGAGGTCTTTTAAAAGGACCAAATATAACAGTGTTTGAAAAGCACAAGCTAGGTACTTCTCTTTATGGAAGAAGAGCAAGATGGGGGGCCCAAAGAGGAACTGGCACACACACAAAACTTTTCTCAGAATTATTTTTTGTCCTAGGTACTCTACCTCAGAATGTATGCTTATTTCTTTAGTTTAGCTACCAGGGAAAAAGAGACAGAGAAAAATAGAGAAAGGCAGGAAGTCAGATTCTGGCTCTTACACAAGAAAATTCACTCTACATAATCTTCACACAATGTTGCTGTCCTTCCTCAAACACTGGGCCACAGGCATCATGCCAGAGAAGTCAGCAGCCTGGAAGATATTTTAAACTGATTCTGGGGCTGAACGACAGCCCATTTGCTCCATATGCCACTGACACGTTAATCTAGGCAAGGCTGCTAGGCACCTGGGGACATCCATGCTAAAATGCCATTTACGGAGGACACGCCGAGTCCAGTGGCAGAAGTTCACCAGTGCAAAGTGGGAGGGCAACCAAGAAGATAGAAGTGGCAAGGTGGAGTGAGAAGAAGTGTGGTGTCTAAGCATTGGAAGATTTTCTGAGTTTCAGACACTTCATTTTGCTTCTGTGAGAGCTGCAGATTCAACAAAACATCAAAACTGGGTATTTACTGGCTGGACAAATGAGTATCTGCTACTTTTTGCACCCATTATACCACGTGGCCACGCTTCTATCCACTGGCAGATACTGGGCGATGCTTTAGTCCACTAGAATGACCTCCTATATCCCTCCTGTTCCGTCATAAAAAGCAAGTGGCTGCTGAGCGACTATAGTAGATGCCCCAGTGTCAGACTTTCCAGGATCCAGTTTGGTGGGAGTACTCTGGGCCTTTGGTCTCCCTCTTCCCTTTGCCCAGCCCTGTTTCTTGGTTACTCTGAGCAGTAATGAGCTTCTCCACCCCAGCATGAGGACAGGCTCACAGCTAGCACATGAAAAAGGCTGAACTCGTGTGGGGCAACTACTCTATTTCATGGGCAGATCACACATCTGTTTTTTCCCTTCTTCTGCAATGCAACTACACTAATGATTTTTTTTTTTTTTTTAGTAGAAATAAGGCAGTACTGTGGCTTTCTGAGAAAAATGTCACACTGCGGGAAAACTGCAACAGACATCATAAAAGGAGCTGGAATGAAATGCCCACCCACTCTTGTCATTGGAGCGAATGATTGCCAAGAGCAAAAGAATCATTCTTAGGGGATCTTAATAAACAAATAGAATCACTGCCCTAATTATTTTCTTTCAGGCAAATGAAACTTAAAAATCAGCTCTTCGTGTTCATGTTAGCTATTTTGGATAAACAAGAATCTGAAAGGTTATAAAAATAAGATAAGGCCACCCAAGAATGTGGGAGTTCCCCAAAGTTCTCTATGGTGAGTAGTTCAGAGTTGTCATTGTTGAGGATGGGCTGTAGAATCAGCCCATGATTCAAGGCCAGAGTTCTGTCCCTTTTTCCCTAATGACCACTGGTGACTTTCTCAAAACCCCCCAACAAGTCTCTGTTTTTTCGTCTGTAAACTTGCACAGAGTAACCCCAACTTCCAGGGCTTTTAAGAGAATTCAAAGAGAAGATCTGTGTGTGGTGAGGAGCATACTTTCTGGCATGTGGTCAGGGGATCTATGTTAACATTATAGACCTGATCTTGGGAACTACATGTCACTTATGTTTTTCAATGGAGAGACGTTATTTCTATGAGTTCTTAGGAAAGACCAGATAGATGTTTTAATCACAAAATAATAAGCATTTTCTGAACCTGGAAGTTCCACTAGACCCACTGGGCTGTGTTATGCATTATAAAAGATTTATAAGAAGTAGAAGAGTTGTTTTTTTGCTTAGGAGTGTTTAAACCACTGAAGAACAGTAATACCAATCTTATCCAAAACCCAATGTTTGGCAACTCCATCTTAAATGGGATCCATCTTTAAACCCATCTTTTTTTTTTTTTTAAAGATTTTATTTATTTATTTGACAGAGAGAGACAGAGCGAGAGAGGGAACACAAGCAGGGGGAATGGGAGAGGGAGAAGCAGACTCCCAACTAAGCAAGGAGTCCAAGCGGGGCTGGATCCCAGGACCCTGGGATCATGACCTGAGCCGAAGGCAGATGCTCAACTACTGAGCCACCCAGGCGCCCCTTTAAGCCCATCTTAAATGAGATCCTAAACACCTTACTGCAGTAGTTCTTACCTTGTCTCCTTGCACCCATCCTTGACTCGCTACAGCCAATTTACAGAGCACTAGCATCTTTTCAAAATTTGCTGATGGTTCCCTATTTTACAAAGAATGAAATCCAAAGTCTTCACTTAAGTGCCCTTCATGGTCTGGGCTCCAGTTACCTTCCAGAGCATATCTCTTATTACTCTCTCCTTTGTTCACTCCCCTTCAGTTGTACCAGACTCCTCAAAGGCAACAAATGTGCTCCTGCTTCAGAACCTCTGGACTTGCTAATGTCTCTCTCTGGAATGTTCTTCCCCACGTACCCATATGGCTTGCTCTTCTACTTTATTTAAGTTTCTTTTCAAATGTCACATAATCAGAGAAAGCTTCCCTGACCACTCTTTTTAAAATAATCACCCCACCCTGCTCTTCTCTATGCCCTATTGTGCTTTATTTTTCTTCACAGAGCCTTCAAGACTTGACAAAAGAAGCCTGGCTGGTTCAGTCAGTGGAGCATGCAACTCTTGATCTCGGGGTCGTGAGTTCAGGCCCCATGTTGGGCATAGAGCTTACTTAAAAAGGGGGGGTCAGGGAAGGTTAATGTAATGAGCTCCAATCCCCACTGCTTCAACTGGTCCCAAGACTGTAATTGATATTTATCATCTTCATCTTCTACTCATTGTAGATTTCCCTCACCTTTTGCCCACACTTCAGCTGGTCTAGGTTGCTTTCTAGGTGCGGTGACTTAGATCTGCATCCCCAAGGGGTCTGAGTTGCTTTCGCCCTTTTGGACTGAGGTGGCTGCAGTTCCAGTTCCAGTTATCAGGTATGGTGTTACCTCCAAAAGATGGCTCACTGAGTCCCTGGGTCCTAGATCATATTCTTTTCTGCCCTACTACCTCAATTGTGTAGTTGGAACCCTAGTTTCTCATAGTAATCAAGTCAATTGTCCTTAATAAAATTTCACAAGTGCATCATTGAGAGTGATAGTGAAAAGAACCAATCAGATTTCTACCCACTGATTCCTGGACCCATATATTCTAGCTTTAGAGAATCAGCACCATTGGTTCTGTATATACGGCATGCTGGAGGATGAAGTCCAACCCTATAGGGTATTATGCTCAAGTTAGCACCTTAAATGCAGCTTTAATAGGCCATTCCATTATTCTATTAGCTGGCTATCTCTGGATGATCAAGTATATTGCAAGACCAGTCAGTCTCATAGTCATGTGTCCATTGTCACGCACTCTTTTACTATCAAATTGTTCCCTTAGTCTGAGGCAATGTGTGGGATCCCATACCGGCAAAGAAGGCATTCTCTAAGTCCTCAGGTAGTAGTATTGGCAGCAGCACTGTGGTTAAGGGAGGCAAAGCCATATCCAAAGGAGGTGCCAATTCCAGTAATGGAATTGGGTCTGCTGGAATCAGCTTGCCAAGTAATTGACTAATCTCCTTGAGGATGGGGCTTTCTCTGTGCCAGTGTGTGCTGCTGATAGGATGGATATTCAGCCATGGCAGGAACTATATTAGTCTTGGTGAAAGAGAGTTGATACTGTTGTGTCCACACTTCATCTCTATCCCTGTCATTATGGCCATGTCATTCATGAACCCACTGCACAGTACTGGAGTGGGCATGGAGAGAGGCTCATTGACATCCAGAAGACAGGTCATCCTCTCTACTTGGTTGTTGATGTTGTTGATGTTCTCTTGATTCACTATGAAGGATGCTCATGGGCATTAACATGAGAATCAATAATCCTCAGTCATCACATCTTTCCTCCTAAGTCCATCCATATGCCTCTTCCCCAAACATCCTTGTAGAGAAAGCTATAAAATCGGACATTATCAGGCCAGTCATCACTGTGGGCCATTTAGAATGTGTCTCATAATTACCTACACAAGGGCAGAAGACAGTGGCTCTACCTACCAGTTTCCATCCTTATTAGTCAAGGATTTCTTCAAAGAATGTTAATCCCTCTGAATGCATATGTGTGAATGATAAGCAGATTGCTGCAGATATCCAGTCAGGTTATCAGAGAAGCTCAGGTTAGAGAGTGTAATAAATTTATGATCCACCTGAGACAAGACCCTGTCTGGTTATTCCTGAGCACAGCTGGTTGTTGCAGCAAAATTTGGAATAGAAGTTGGGCTGAGAGGATATGAGATGAAGTCTAAAAAGTGGTTGATATACCCTTAAAGCCTGGGGAGAAAGGCATGATTGGAAGAATGTGTTAAATTATATATTTTCGATAATTAGATAATAGGATATTTTTAAAATATGTGCTAATTGTATGGTGCTGCCAACAAAGGCAAAGTTGTTAGCAGAGGAAGACATCAGTGTGGGCTTGAGTTGGCAGGAAAGGAGCTAGAGCCCTGAGGCACGGTTGATGGTGAAGCTGAGGATTCTGGGTAGAGTCCCTCTCCATGTTAAGGAAGATGAATCGAGAATTCTCTGGAGAGGAGAGGCTGTCAAAAACAGGGAAGAGATACCCAGACTGCTGAGAACATAAGGATTATCTTGGTTCAGATAGATTTTCTGTCCTACTGCCTCCTATAAGACAGTTACCTTTGTTGTGTTGTAGTATAGCACATGATTAAATAAACATACTTTGGAGAGACTGAGCTGCTTTGAATCCTAGCTCTACTGCTTGGGCAAGTTCCTTAACCTCTTAATCTGTGCTTTCTTCATCTGTTAAGTGGAGGTAGTAACAGTACCTACTTCATAGATTTGTA